AAAAAAAAATATGACCCATGTAAAGTTAGCATTACAATGTTGGCAGAACTTCTATCATTGAGCATACTTCTTATTCCTTATACAATGGTAGATTGTATGGATAGGCCATAATATTTTGATTTTTTGATTATTCAGTTTCATACATCAACGAATAATATTTTTAAATTACAACAAAAAACCAAAACCGTTAATATTGGTTTAAATATGTAATTTCGTCCAAATTTGTACTTAAAATGACTATCAAAATCAACTGTGATTGTGTATTTTTATATTTTTTGGTAACAGAATTGACTACTTACATGGAATCTTGTTTTAAATTTTCAATCCTTGTATATAAAATTTAAACATTTTATAAGTTTTTAACTACAAAATAATTATTCAATTTTAAATTTGATGAATTTTGTCAAAATTCGATATTTAAATGTTTATAAAAAATATTTTTCAACTGATATTGTCACAATATATCAGGAGCCTTGAATTAAATTTTTACACTTTTTGGCCCAACAGATAAAACTATTGATATTAATAGAAAAAAAAAAACTAGAAAAATTGAAAACTGTGAATGTCCGTTAACAGCTTAAAAAGAGTCAAAATATTTTGAAAATTGTATTTTGTATAGGAAATGCTAATATTAACATTCAGTGAAATTTTAATGTACCTATACGGTCATTTGTAAGTAGATAATCTCATAATGAATCTTGTATTCAATTTAAAATCTTAGATTTAAAAAAAAAATGTTTACGAATTCTTAACTCAAAATAAATTTACTAATTTCCATGATTTTTCCATATTTTGTCAATTTTTGAATTTTAAAGTTTAAATGCTTATAAAAAAAACTGTGACTAAAGATTTTTAATATTTTTCATCTGCCTTTGAAACAATATACTAGGAGCCCTCTCTTAAATTTTCAAGCTTTTTTAACCCACAAAATATAATTGATATTTTTAGAAAAACAACTAAAAAACAAAATGGAAAATGAAAATGTCCCTAAACAGTTCAAAATAAATCAAAATATTTTGAAAATGTTATCGTGTATAGAAAATGCAAATATAAACAACTAATGAAAATTTCATGTTTCTACGGTCATTTGTTTTAAGGTTACAAAAAACACCACATTCGGTTTTTTTATAATCGATTTTGCGTAAAAATTCCCGTTTTTCCTTAATTGTTATTTTGTTTTCCTTGGCGCTATTGAAAATTACTGTGAATTTTAAATTTTGAAATCCTGAATGCACCAACAATATTAACTTTCCAATCGAACAAGATACTGAAGTTGTATATCGAAGCATTATTTCGACTACTTATCGTGTAAACAAAAAAAAATAAAAAAAAATAAAAAAATTCACACATCATTGTAAAATCAATACATTCATCGTACCACTCAGAATCTAAAAATATTTTCATTTAATTATTTGAACGAGGAATCAGGAAAGTGAACACACAACTTAGTCCAAAAGTATGATAAAAAACATTAAGTTGAATTAAATTGAGGAATTATAGATATATTTTTGGGTATAGTACAATTGAAAAATATCTAGTAACATGCTACATTTGGTTAGCGATTTAATTTAATTTAATTTTTTTGGTTTGCGTTTCTATAACATATATAATGTGTTACAAAAATTGGCCTTCCAAAAATTAGTTAAAAAATAGTGTACTGCTGTAAGTTAAATTATATACAGTTTGATATCAAGATGAGAGTAAATTATGTAACAATATTATTGTTTCGGCATAAATTTATTCAATGACTACGCTGTATTACTAAAGATATAATTACTAGTAATTATAACAATTAACAATTATAACAAAAAATATACTTATTAATATAAGTCTGCTCAAAATCGTTTTCCGTATACAGTATGATTTTATATACTAACATATCTCCTCTACATCGTGATACTACACAACAGGCAACAATAAACATTTTTTTTGAGTTTGTATCCAAAAATCGAAAATTGTATAACTAGTTAGGTGCCTACTAAAAAATAAATATTTATAATATAATATATATTTTGTTATAAACCCATTTCATTTAGTAGCAGTAGTATAAGAATAATTATAAAATAACTAGGTATTGTAAAATAAGCATTTCGTATTATACAGTGGCGTAGCCAGGGGGGTGGTTAAGGGGCTATAGCCCCCCCCCCCCATTGACCAGTGTTGATCTCAGAATTTTATCAAGATTAAAATATAAAAATATAAAATATATTGTATTTGAATACTTAGCCCCCCCCATACAAAATTTCTGGTTACGCCACTGGTATTATATATTATATATTTATGTTTATACGTAGGTATCCATGAACTCGTGAGAAATAGCACGGTCACATATTCCGCTGCGTAGACAGTTTTGAACCACAGCGAGCTCGTCCGGAAGAGAAATCAGTGGTAGTCCAGCATAACCTCCGAATTCATGTATAATTGATTTATTAAAATACACATTTTTTTGGGATGGTTGAGACTTTAACTACTGTGATTATTAGTCTGTGGAACTGTAGGGAGATGGAACACGTGTGTGTTTGACATATTTTTCAGTGGGCGCCCATAGGTATCTGCCATTCCCGGGTAGGGGGAATGGTGGAACTTATTCTCCGGACACCGTGACTTGCCCGAAGAAAACTGCCACCCGCTGCCGGGAATCGAGTCGACATCGGCTGCGTCGCAACCGACGCCTTAGACCGCTCGGCCACCCCGTCCCCCCAACAATATATTTATATGTGCAAAATATATTATTTATTTAAATGAAAAATTATAAATGAAATAACTGGTAACCAAGTATCTCCCAACTCAATACTCATCACACAATTACATGGAAAACAAAAATTTTGTTTGAAAAATTGAAAAACAAAAATGGTAAGTTTACCTTGCAGTACCTATCTACATCATTGAAGGAAAAAAATAACAATATACGAATGCAACAAAGTTTGAGCTATTGTTATAGTGACACATGTCTACTACCTACCTATAGGCAACCACTTATATAAATTAATAAAAATAATAATAAATATTATAATAAAATGATAAATTGACTTGTTCACAATTATAAGGGTCGGTTGATTGGAAAAAATTCAAATAAACTTGAGCAATTACAATGGAAGTTTCATAAAAGTGTTAGGAAAATGTAAACTAAAATGTTATTTTGAGAATGTTATGGTTGAATATATAGATTTTATGGCGGTAGATGAGCAAAGTCAACCAATTATTTTGTTTAAAACAATGATAAAATTACATTTGGTTATAAACCGTATGAAAAAAAAAGCAAATATAATGGATGACCCAAGATAAAAATGATACAAATCAATAAGTGAGGGAATAGGACTCATGAAAGTAGGAGAGTATGTATTTACGGTGCATCCGAATTGCATGCCAAAAAATAAATATAAATCGGGTTGTCCAAATTGCATGCCGTCTCTTGAATGGGTATGTCCGAATTGCATGCCATCTCTTAGAGGGGTATATCCGAATAAATAACTTACTTTTCAACTGGAGGATCGGGATTTTGTTACATTACAATAAAACATATAAATATTGTAGAAGGCGACACCGTGAATAAGAATCATAAAAATATTATTTTTAAATTTGGTGGTTTTTTTTGACATTTCGGGCAATCGAGCACACAATATTACAATTCAAATAAACAAAATAATATATAATAATAAAATATGTCAATATAGAAACATCTTTTTTTGAATAATAAAATAGTATAATAGCATTTTTTAAAACGGTTAATATTACAATGAAAAATTACGTTACAGTATAATAATAATAATAATAAATTAAAAAACAACAACAATAATAATAATAGTAGGTAATAATATTATAATAATAGGTAGAATACAATTATAATAACATAATTATCTATATAGTATATAGTCATAATATATTAAACATTTAGTTTTGTTTATTTTGTTGTCGGCAATGACATGTATTTTTTTTTTAAAAAATTAGGAAAGTCCAAAAAAAAAGTTTAAGTTGTTTAAGTGCATAGTAAATAAACGTGTGGTGTACAGCATGCAATCCGGACAAAGCCCTCTAAGAGATGTCATGCAATTCGGACAGACCCCTCCAAGAGATGGCACGCGCAATTCGGACAAACCCCTACAAGAGACGGCATGCAATTTGGAAATTTTTTTTTTGCATGCAATTCGTATGCAGCCTGTATTTAATTTATAACCTACTTAGAATAATGTACGACCGTTGCAAAAAAAAACATACAAACGGAAGATGTCCCGAACACTAATTATAAAATATATTTTGATATTACGTATTTTTACGAATTACGATCCAGTACAGTACAATAATAATATTATTATGTCTCACCATACTATGTATGCACGCAGCTGGCCATGGTTATGTCTTCATGAGACCCTGGTAGTCGGTGGCGCTTAAATTGACGATCATCATCGTTGGCGCCTCGGGAATCCACCTTTGTTGTACAACAGAAGCCGTTTGGATAAACGGTAACTGAATGCGCTACTGTGTTATTGTTGTCTGTGCGCTATACTACAGGCACCCCCTGCAGTGACCTACGTGACAATCGGCTGTGGTACAGTCGTTGCCAGATAAATTGAGCAGGCGGCGGCGGCGCTTTTCGGTTAGTGTAGCCCAAACTAGTTGCTGGCAGTGTGGTGCATAGGTCACACAGTTGGCTACGACGCGCGCATTCACCAGTTCGAACCCGGCTCAGTGCAAACAATTTTCTGCAGAATTTTCTGAACTCTCTCTCCCATGCCATCGTTCTGACTGCAGTACACTGCTAAAAACAACTAACCTAACCCGGTGTGTTTCGACCGCACGGCGCGGCGGGTCACCAACAATTTGTTTATTATAAATGTATAAAAATAAATGACTCGGCTGACCAATGACAATATTAATTATTAATAGATATGGACATTATGGAATATACTAATATAGATGGACATTTACTCATTCGCTCCAGCATTGTGTTCGTGTTCTTTTGTACTAAATACATACGCTATAAAATAAACAGTTTTTTTATAATGAGTTCAAAAATTAAAAATTGTAAAGCTCACAGTCAAGCTAAGGAAATAATTTGGAATGTTTTCAAATATTTTAAAGATAAAAATGAAGACATGGCTAACTGTAGGTTGTATACGATGACTGCAGAAGCTACTGGTTATTCTACAATGTCGGTTAGACGTATTGTGTATGAAGGTAAGAAAAATATGTATTTAACTGGAAATTCTACATTGCAGGCTACATTTATCACTCCTGATAAAAAAAAGGAATAATGTGACAAAAATAAAAGCTTTAGTTGACGATTTTGATAGATGTGCTTTAAAGCGAACCATCACAGATATGTATAGGGTTGAAAAAATTGTACCTACTGTTAAACTTATTTTTGAAAAACAAAAAAATTTTATGAATTTGGGGAGTACTAGAACATTAAACAGAATAATTTCGGAAATGGGTTTCAAATTTCGTAAAACTGAAACTAATAGAAAATTGTTGATAGAAAAACATAATATACGTTTGAAAAGAATGGAGTACTTAAAAAAAAATACTTGAGTTTCGTAGACAAGGTAGAAAAATAGTGTATACTGACGAAAGTTACGTATTATCAATATAATTCCTAGAACTAATCGTGGAAAATTAAAACAGGATTTAGTTCTAGAATAAGAGCAAGGACTCTAAAACCAATTTGTGAAAAAAAACTCAGAATAATCTATCGTAGCGTTTATTAACTTACACTACTTCAGAATACTTTCGACGAGCAACAAACCATACTAGACCAATGCGATTAGCAATATCTGAGGTAGACATATAAATAAAGTCCATTTTATAACTAAACATAATATTATTATGTATGCTCTGTAGTTTCTCGAGCCCATATCGATTAAATATATGTAAGCACATTTATACATCCGTAGTACATCATATGTATCATTACTTAAACAAATATTAATTTATTATACCGTTTAACACAATGGGAAATACTTTTTGAAGTATTACATCACCTTATCCTAATACACGTTTAATTTTTCTATAATTTCTACATTTAATTTTCCATTTTTATCTTTTCGTATTTTTATTCTACTACATTGTGGTATAGGTATTATGTGTTTAGGTATATATCCCAGTCGGTGGCTTGCATTATGTTTGTTTTCTACATTATCACGAAGTCCCTCCACTTAGCTATTTGTATGTGTGTAACTATTTTTTTGTCTACTTAACAAAATGTATAGTAACAAATAACAGTACTTTGCCACTTCGGTTAGGTTAGGTAAAATATATGTGTGCCAAAGTGGTCCATATTACTATACAATATATTATAGACACCTACATCAAATATTCATTATATTGTGATTTTTATAAATAAACATAATTTATTGTAAAGTTCGTAATTAAGGAAAGGGATGATTCAATTATAATTGGCAACTATAATTCAATGGATAATATTTTAATCAATGAAATACAGTAGGTATATAGTTCTTTGTTACAATAAATATTGGTGTTTTATTATTATATTTTATAAATTAAGGCTATTTGGCAAACAGAATATATTATTTTTTAATGTATTAGACTATTATTATGACAGTTTAATAATATGACTGAGCATCAAATATTGTTGATAGGTATAAATAATATTATAATTTATGAGTAATAACAATATGAATTTGGTAAAGGATACAAATCTTAAATTATGCAATGAAACATGTACCTATTTTACCTCAGAGACGGATTTACACAATTGCCGCCCCATTAAACTTATCAACGATAAAACGTATTTTTAAATACTTATTTTACATAAGTACTAAAAAAATAAATCATAAAGACTGATACTAAATAATAATTAATGACAGTTATGTTAATAAACTGTCTAATAAAATGTGTTTATAAAATATAGTGTTTACTTACCAGTAATTTAAGTAGTATACTAATAACCGAATATGAAGTCTATCCGCCTTGAATGTTGTGTTGAAAATAATCGAATGTCTAATCAGAATAAACCTATTTTTTACTCGGTCCCCTCTATTTCATAGTCCCGAACTCCCGAAGAAAAATAAACAATTATTACATAATTTTATCTTTTGGATAGAAAAAGTCTTATTTTTGTACACATAATGTATAGTACGTACGAGTATATTATATAAAAATGTTCACAGTGACTGGTTTATAATTAGACTATCGTTCCAATACGAATCGATCGTCACCCGTATTCGTATTAAATATATCATATATGTATGTATTGTGTACACCGTGCGTTCAAACGAACCACGAGCGATTATTAATAATTATTACGACTTAGCAAAAAAACAAATTAACGAAATATGTTATCCATGTTTAGTATTTAGATAATAGATCTACGTTCCGGCAGTCGTTCGATAATTTACTTGGACGTTTATTGTTATGTATTATAAAATAAAGAAGAAATTATATTAAGGGGCCTGGTCGCGATTTTTCAAATTTTCCGCAACTCTATAAAATTTGAAAATTAAATTTTATATTATAGTTGCCACCTCAATTATAAAACTTTTCCACTAATCTACTACCCAATACCTATTTAGGGGAGGTTGATAGGGTGTATTATATCGGTCAAAACACAGTTTACAGGAAAAACTCTCACACCTCGTAGATTGGTCCGATTTCCGTAATTTTTTTTTTGTTAGATAGAAGAATATTTTTTACAGGGCTCATTGGACTTTGATTTTTGATTACGTTGCTAAAAATAAATAATAATACAAAAACTAAAAAGTTGTAAAAATGGATTAAATTCAATCTTGTAATATAAGATTTCGAAAAATAATTTTGAAAATCCAAGTCCAATGCGCCCTGCAATACGCCTTCCTCTATTTAACAAAAAAAAAATTACGGAAATCGGACCAATCTACAAGGCGTGAGAGTTTTTCCTGTAAGGCATGTTTTTGAGCAAAAAAACAGGTCGCGACCAGGCTCCTTAACAAGAATATTATTATACTTAAATATTAAACATTTTTGACGCTAAATCAGCCACTGTTTTACCTACATCATGATTGGGCTTTAAGTAATAATTAGAATATTGAACTAACACAAGAATATTACAAAAATAAATTACTTGCATACATTTGAAATGGGGAAATAAAAACGAATTTAATGAACTCTAAAATAATTATTTATGTATTTTTGTTATAATAATTATAAAAACACACTATATACATTTTTTTAGATATAATATAATATAATTATATACATGATATATAATATAATTATATACACGATATATAATGATATTATATACATGACATAAATATACTAAATCATAATTAATATGACGATAAAAAAAAATATTCGTATACCTACTCGCAAAACTATAATTATTTAAAACAAAAACATTACATCAAAATATTACCACTATTTCGGCAAACAGTAATCGTCGTATATTATGGCCAATTCCAACACTCTTGCAATACATGGAGCAGTGGGTTTAAGTCTGGAGAACACGATATAAATTAAAAAGCGCATCAATAACTAATTTTTTTTATCATGATATTAACTCGATTACCTGTGAGCTTCCATTATACATGTATCCAAATATTTGGCTTGTTTTAAATATTTATTGGTAATGCTGGTGTACCGTCAGCCTGGCACCCCATAGTAAAAATGTCGGGGTCAAACCTAACTAAAAAATTAGTAACCAATTCGTAACAATTTGTAACCACAAAATCAGAATCACTGTATCCCATACCTACACGTTAAGTAATAATGCGTTTTGATGTTCCATCCTATTAGTACAATATTGGTCCACGAAGAGCTATCGTACAGCTAGCACAGCGTCTATATTTATGTTATTTTCAGTATCTTCAATTGCTTCACTTAAACTATTTGTAGTCTTATTTTCTATATACATATATATATTTATTTTATTTTCAATCTCTTCAATTGCTTCACTTAAATTACTTGTAGTCTTATTTTCTATACCTATACTTATGTTATTTTCAGTCTCTTCAGTTGCTTCACTTAAATTACTCGTAGTCTTATTTTTTATACCTATATTTATGTTATTAATATTATATAGGTAAAATTGTCAAAACCATAGCCATAATATTCTGTAGTTAATAAAATCAATTTCTCTAGAACAGTGAATAAAAAACCATGTGTGTTACCAGTACGCGCGCGGGAAGTTAAACTTCTTTTGAATGGTACACGTGAGTGAGTGAAAAAGAAAGAAAAAAAATATTAATTAATTTAAAAAATGAGAAGAAGTATCCGGAATTATTTATTATTGATAGTTTTATTATTTTTTTTATATTTTTATTCGACAGATCGATGGATAATTGTTTGTAGTATTGTTTTTATCCATACAATAGATTTGTGAGTGAATACTAATAATAATAATAAAAATAAATAATAATCGATCATTAATTATTCATATTAATTAGTATGGCCCGATTATAATATATAATACTAGCTGATCCCGTGCACTTCGTCGCCCTTTAAATGTATCAACTCAATATGAGTTATGACTCAAACTTTGTTCAATTCGTTATTCAATATTCGGTGTATGGTGTTCAAAATTTATCTTATCTTTTCCGTTGCCCGGAATAAAAATTCTGAATCGCAGCAGTACATTATCAGGTAGGCAATCTACCTGCGGTAGATCGCGGACCCCGTGCTGTTTGTACGGAAGTGTATGATTTAACTCTAAATTATCAAAGTTATACCAAGTTTATTTTGATATAATAAGGTGGATTAATATAACAAATTTGGTTGCTCGTAAAAAATCACAACTCTTAAAAAAATTATGATTGTTGAACTCCTTTTGGGTGTAACTTGCTGGGGTAAGTGCAACTCAGCCACCCTGGTAGGCAATGTTCAATAATTTGTTTTGATGCAAGCTTGTACCTGATCTGCCCGAATAACCAATGGCAACCAATAAATAAATGCTAATTTCTAATGTAGACTGTAACTAATGGCAACTATTAATAAATAAAAATAAAATTTCCAATTTCCATCTTGAATCTCAATGTCCCTGTTTGAGCACCTATTTAAAATGCGAATTTCGAAAAATCCTTTCTTAGCGCACGTCTACATCATAATAGCTAACTGTATGCCAAATTTCAGCCAGATCCGTCCAATGGTTTGAGCTGTGCGTTGATAGCAGTCAATCAGCTTACTGTTTATATATACAGATATATATATATATATATATATATTATGTATATATATATTATAATATATAATAAAACAACATTACCATGACAATATTTATTTATTTATGGACATGTACGCTTTCGCGTTCGTACGGCCGCCC